GGGGATGGTCACCGCAGCCTGGCACCCGCCGTGGGGCCTTGGGGACGGGGTTCCCGCAGGTGCTGTGATGCTCCTGCCTCTCACCTTAATCTTGCTCAACTTCTTCTGGATCTTGCTGGACACTTGCTCGGCCCAGTATCGCTCCCGGAGGAAGTCCCAGAAGATGCGCCCCACCAGTGCGTTCATCCAAGCCATGCACGCCTCGCTGCGCCTGGCCGTGTCCTCGCCGAGCTGCGCAGGGACAGAAGCCACAAGCTCCTGGAGCGAGGTGGCCCCATGAGCGGTGGGACCCGCTGGCCAGGTTCTGCCCTGCACCACGGCTTGGCTGCTCAAACCATGGGGCTGGGAGGGAGAAGACGAACCACAAGACTGGAAGTGGTGGCACGCGAGGTCCGTCAGCCTCCACTTAGTGCTCGTGTCCCGCTCCCAGTGCTGGATTTGTCCCACTCACCTTGGTGGGCGTGGGGCTGCCCAGTGCTCCGTGACAGGGGCTCTGGTCCGGGCTGCCCCCGACCTGCACTGGCACGAATCGGGCCATGTAGGTGCTGTAATCCAGGAAAATCTTCTGTCGGACGCTTCCCGCCAGGTCCTTGAGTGGGACAGCGGAGGGGATGTCCTCGGTGCTCCCTCCGCTGCTGCTGCCGCTGCTCCGCGGAGCTGGTCCCGCGCCTGGGGACATGGGGACATGAGTGGGTCAGGGTGGCATGAGAGGTGACACGCTGCCGGGCCGTGACGCACACGCAGTGACATGCTGCCCGCCCGAGATGCCAGTGACATGCCACCCACCCTCTGCTGGCAAGGGGGGTCCTCCAGGCTCTCCTTGCTGCTGCAAATGCTCTTGGCTCTGGGCTCCTCCGTGTCCCCCCACGCTCACTGGTGCCCACCAAGGGCTTGTCCTCCCGGCACACGTGCAGCTCCCACCCCACATCGGTCCCGGCACAGGGCAGAGGCCACGATGGCCACTTCTCACCTCCTCTGGCTTCACCGCGGCTGCTGCTGGCTGTCCCGCGGGAGGCTCGCACGAGGTGCTGGTACCACTCCTCCTTCTCCCTCCCTGTCCGCCCAAAGAGGTACAGGCACCGCTCCCTGCAGTCCCCTGGGACGTCCTGCCCTGGCGCTGGTGCCTTCTTCATCCCTTCGTCCCTCTGCAGCTCCACGTCGTGCTCCTCGCTGCTCCTGCACTCCACCTCCGCCCGGTCGGGGAGGAGGACGCAGATGGGGTACTTCTTGTTCCACGTCCGCTTTCGGGCCAGGCTGGGGGGGCAGAGGAAGACCTGCGACACCG